AATTTGGGACTTCAGGTTTGCTTCGCGGCTGCGGCACCCTCTTCTATTTCAGCGCGGGGCACGCACAGGGGTGCGTGCGCGGGCGCCCGCAGCCACTGCCTGACCGCTCTCTTCAGAGAGCTCGCTGAGCCAGGCCAGGTGAGTTCAGCTACTTCGCGCGTGTCGCCAACGGCGGGAGGGCCTCGCTTTCGCGATTGGGTGCCCATGCTATGGCGCATGCGCGACTACAGCATTATCATAATTTCGGTGAGCCTTGATCGCGGCGCGCCTCTACTTGCAGGGGCCAACGCCCGCGAGCTCGGCAGCGTCGGCAGCTTCCTGAAGACCGCGGGCTCCCCGTGGAACTTACAGGGCGACTTCAACGTTTCACCTGAAGCTCTCTTGCGCTCAGGATGGCCGACGGCCTTCGGCGCCTCGCCCAGAGCCTGCGCGCCAGACATTGGCTTCGCCCGCGCAAAGAAGGGCTCTGGCTAGCCGATTCCGACTTCGCCGTGCTCAGCCCGCACCCGCTCCGACGTTTTTGCAGCATCAGCGCGGTGGCGGACCTCCCCCGGGAACCGCGCCTGAGCCGGGTGGTCCGACTCCGAAGCGCAGAACCTTGACAGCAAGAGACGCCGTCGGTTGAGATCTGAGGCAGCAGAAGGTCATCATCGACGAGCTTAACTCCAACAACCGCGGATAGAGCAGTCCTGCATCGACGAGGGCGCCTGACTCAACGCGCGCTGGGAAGCGCCATCGCCGTGCGCCTGTGGCTCAGCGCCGAGCCGACTGGGCGACGTCGACCATTTCGACGCGCCGGGGCCGGGCCCCGACCTCGGCGCCGAGGGCCTGCCTCCGAAGGACGTCTTGCCTGATGCGCGCGACGCGGGGCCGCCCGCGCCGGGCGACGGCCCCGGCGCGACGCGCGCGCGGCCCGCGACGCCCGCCGCCGCGGCCATGGACGCGGAGTGGGGGCTGGTCGCAAATTTGCTTTAACGCGTCGTGGAGGAGCCGCCCAGCTGAATCAGAAGGAGCACCTGCTACCGCGCATATATGATAACCGCCTCAGCTATTGGGCAAGCCCGCGCCGACCTCGCGCGCGCGCTGGGGACTTCCTATTGCGACGCCAGCGACGTCGGAGAGGAGGGCCGCCAGAAGTGCGCGTGGAAGGGGCAGGGGCTGTAGCTGCAAGTGGGCTCAGTGCGTTCTGATGGGGTTACCGCGGCCGCGGCGCTCAGATCCGTTTGCAGAATGGTGGGCGCGAGCCGCTGCCGCTCTCAGCTGCCGCGACGCCCTGCCAGCGAGAAACAGGCGCCGGCGCCGGCGATGCGCGATCGCCGCTGGCTGCAGACATTTGACTTACCAGGGGGCGCCGCTCGCGGGTCGCATGGGGTTCGCTGAAGCAGCGTCTCGCTGGCGATTGGGAGGGGCGACCCTTGGGCGTCGGAGCGGTTGGCCGCGACGTTGAGCTGGGTGCTCCGACGTGGCGTCCTAGCAGGAAACCAAGTATATGCCAAGTGGGTTTTTGAGGCAGCGGAGTGCGTTTTTGAGGCAGCGGAGGAGAATTCAGGCGCGCTCCGTCGTATGGCTGAGGGCGCGCAGCACGTCGACTCCATGGGCGACAAGTGCGAGTCGCCGACCGAGGTGGTGGAAGCCGAGGCCAAGCTCTTCGCCGCGCTCTGGGCGACCGACCAGACCACGGAGGACGACGTCGTCGGCCTCGCGCGAGACTTCCTGGTGCACGCGCTGGAGTCACTTGCGCCAGTCTGGGCCATCGAAGACCTGGATCGCGTCTTCCAGGGCGAACCTGGCAAAGGGAGGGGGCCCGACAAAATGATCGTGGCGCGCGCGAGAAGACTACCGCCACTGGGCTGGCGGGAACTCGTCAGTCTTTTGTCTCGATTGGCCATGTATGTTTACTGGGCGTGCTGCAACCAGAGCTCGAAGGTGACGGTGCGATCATTTGGTTTTGCGGGTGTTGGGAGTTTCCCGATAGATCACAGATGCGAGAACGGGTTGCTTACTTGCAATCTAAGTGGGGCGCTGTGATCGCCGGCAATGCAGAGCGACGTCAGATGCAGTCGCGCGCGCAAGCTCGGCGTGGCGCGTGGCAGTAGATGTACAGGGATTCTGCGACTGGTTGCTGTGCCGCGATATTTGCAGGGCGGCGCGGAGGTGCCGCTTCTCCTCCCCGCGCCCCAGCCATGGCGCTGCTGCTCGCTGTCTCGCGAATATTGAGGCTGCGTGGGGCCTGCAGTGAACCTTGTTAGCATTGCGGTCTGTTTTGGCTGGGCCGCGCCGTTCGAACAACTTAGCTCGCGCAGTGGTCTAGGTTGTTTTTGGGGGCCTTGCAGCGCGAGCTCTTGCCTGCCCCCTGCGAGCCTGGTTCGACGACATCAGAATCTAGTGCCCTGGTCGTCCGCGATGGGCTAGTGGGTGAGCTGGTAAAGGTGGCGCGCCGCGTCTTCATCTCGCTGTCCAAGCAGCACCTGGCCATGGCCAACAGGACTGCCATCCCTTCTAGCTGCGCGGATGTCGCCAGCGACGCGCCAAAGAGACTGAAGTCGTTCGGCGTGCCAATCGCGGAGGCCATCGAGGGCAGGGTCTTGGGCGTCGACCGCGGAAGGGGGCAGCTGCGCGACGCTCTGCGCGCCGCGGGAGGAGAGGGGCAGCCGCCAGTTAGGAGACCCGCCACCATCGGGGGGATGCTCAGGCCACTGCGCATCAGGAGGCGTCGCCAGATCGCCAGCGCAGTGCCCTTGCCATCTACTGCGCGCGGCCAGGTCTGCTCCAGTCTTGGCCCCCCATCCGACGCTGGCTTCTGGGGGCAGCCCCGCGGCGCCGGTGGCCGCGTATGCGGATGGGGCGGTGAACGCGCGGGCGCTGCGTAGATGTTGGCGGCGACGCGCGGCAGTTCGCAGGCCCAGGGCGGGCGCGCAACCCCGCGGGGCGCATCGTCGCGCTCAAGCTCTGGATAGGAGCCTCAAGCTCTGCCTCAAGCTCTGGATAGGAGCCGCCGATCAGCGCAGTGGGGCGGGCTGTGAATGCGGCGTCGACGACGCCGTGTTGGAGGGGCGACTTGCTCCGACATCGAATCGCGATATGCGCGCCGAGCGTGGGGCGTTATTACTGGCGGCACGCGCGGGCGCTTGGACCTCGGAGAGGCAGAATGGCACGGGGTTCCAGGCCGAGAACTGCGGCCGCGGGCAAGAGGGGGCCGACGTCCATCGCATCTGGGGCGATTACGCGGACCGCAGCAGCATGTGCTCCAAGGGCCTCGTCAGGAGGGCCGACGGCCAATCCGACGGCGCCTTATGTTTCTGCTTGAGAGGCCTCGCTCCTACGAGATGGGCAGGCCTTGGGCCGTGTGAGACCGCCGGATCCGACGCCCGCTTTGGATTTCCCGTTCGAAACGCACGCGTCGCCTCGCCCGGCGCCGACCCGCTGGCGATCAACGGAGACGGGGGCGAAGGTGCAAGGTCAGGGGGTGCGTGGCGCATGCGATGTGGTTGGGCCTGGGTTCGACTGCGCTTCGAGGCAGACAATGAATGAGTGCCTTGTGTGCGCCGGGGGGCGCGGGCCATTGCCTGGGCCCCGCCAGGGCAACAATCGCGTTGAGATATGGGCGTTTGCAGGAGACCGTGAAGAGGGAGGGGCCCGAGCAGGACATGGAGTGGGCGACGAACTGCATCTGGGAGTGTCTCGAGGCAGTCGAACAGTCGAACCGGCATTCGGTCGAGCAGTGGGCCCCGAGACAGTCGCGATGTTCAGTGTCGGGGAGGCGCAGGTGCCGGAGAAGGAGGGGCCTGAGACGGGGGCCAAGGCCAAAATGGCGTTCGTTACTATCCATCACCCCCAGTTCCGCATGGTCTTGAGCAGGGCGGAGGTGGGCGAGGAAACACTCGCGGCGCTCGACGGCTTCAGGCCGTATCACCTCAGGACGGCGGTGGGCCATGTGCTGATGCGCTTCAGGGGGGGGGGGAAGGCGAAGTCCGTGGGCCCGAAGGCGGAAAAGGAAACGTGCGGACGAGAAGCAGCTCCGGCTGTCCTAGTAGACGAGGAGGCCGCCAGCTCGAAGAAGGAGGAACAGATCGAGGGGGCGCTAGGCAGCGAGCTACGGAATAGAGCGGTGAAAGTGCTAGCGAGAGTCCCCGGGCAGTCTGCCTCCTCGGTTCCCTCGGCTCTCCCAGGACTACAGACTTCGGGGCCCCTGCCGGCACGGGCCCTCGGAGAAATGGCGAGAGAGGAGAAATCGCCGACGGAATAAGCCAGAGCTTAGAACAACTCAGTCAACTTCACCCACCCGTGAAAGTAGCAGTAGAAGCAAACGAACGCATGATTTAGCAATGGCTATCATATATATATATATATATATATGTACGCCGCAGACAGCTGACGTATGAAACTATGTGTTCTAGTCGGACCGATTAAGAGACACATCAGCTACTATTGAATGACAGAACATTATCTATTCTTACTATGCGCGCCGCCCATAATCACAGTTTGCAGGTGCGACGGAGAGAGTGGATAGAAAAGGGGAACAAGGCGGTGCAGACGACGCCGGCATTTTTCTTGCTCTTCTCAATTCTCCAGCCTCCCAGTTATCGGGGCAGGGGCGATGGCGCCATGGGGTGCTCGACAAGAAGGGATATCGACATCGAGAACACCTCCCGGGGAGAAGGGCAAGGGCGGAGGCAAGAGGAGGAGGAGGAGGAGAAGGAGGAGGAGGAGGAGGATGAGGAGGGAGGAGGAGGAGGAGGAGGAGGAGAGGAGGAGGAGGAGCAGGAGAGCAGGAGGAGGGAGGAGGAGGAGGAGGAGGAGGAGGAGGAGGAGGAGGGAGGAGGAGGAGGAGGAGGAGGAGGAGGAGGAGGAGGAGGAACAGGAGCAGGAGCAGGAGCAGGAGGAGGAGGAGGAGGAGGAGGAGGAGGAGGAGGAGGAGGAGGAGGAGGAGGAGGAGGAGGAGGAGGAGGAGGAGGTCACACTGGCGGCGCAGAGGCGGCAGCGGGCGGGCGGGGCCCCAGGCTTTGCCCGCCTGCAGTTCACGAGCCCTCAGGCGCCCTGGCCGCCGCCGCCGCCCGCCCGCCCGCCGAGAGGGGGCGCAGGCCCGCACAGAGGCAGGTGGGTGGCAGTTGGCGCCTCCAACTGCAGGCGGTGGCACATATGCCGTGAGGTATTTTTTCGTGGTGTTCGGCCTCCAGGGGCCCTCGACGGGCCCCGGGACCGTCAACAAAACGTCTCAGGATGAACATCCGGTCTTGGGTAACGGGTCGAGATTTTTGGGGACCCCGTATTATACAGGGTCCCCAGAAGTCTCGACCCATTCCCTAGGACACATCCTCCGTTGTCATTTTTTCACCATGCCTCAGTCGTGATTTCAATACTATTGAAAAAATCACGACGCTGGATCTTTGGGGAGGTACGGGTCCCCCTCACCCTACAGCCGTCTTCGCTGGCCGAGGGACCGCAGGGGGGCCCTCGGCCGCCGACAGTGCCACTGGATGTTGAAAGTTCCCAGATGGGGGCGGGAACCCGAGTAGCCCCAGTGATGGTCGGGGGCGACCAAGAGTGGGTGACGACTAGGGGGGGGTGGATACCATGGCGGGGGCCATGATGCCTCCCCAGATTTCATGGCGCCTCTTTTTATTTCATCACGTCCCCAGCCCCCCCTGGGCCGCGCACACGCCGCCCGTCATGATTTGCACGCCCGCCTCTTGGCCGCCCCCGAAGCGATGGAGGCGCGTGGATTGTAGGGCTCTTTTCGACCTGATTGGTGCGATTCGATCTCGGCTCTGGCTGGTACGATTGGGTCTGGTTCCGATTTTCGGGCGGTCTGATGCGGGGCGATGCCTGCATGGCGCTGTTGAACATGCTGGTGCCGCCGATTCGATTCGACTCCTACTCCGTACCGATGCCGCCCGATGCGATGCACGTTCCCATCCGATCTGAGTTCCCGATTCGATGCTGTCTATTCCCGGGATCAGCGACGGGCCCCGCTTTCAAACAGCGTTGATGGAATCGTCCAGAACCAAATAACTCCCAACCCTAATAACAAGATGAAGACGTGGCCTCACTTAGGCCCCCGTCTTCGCAGTAGGGATGATGCGGCTGGGCGGTTTGGTCTGATATGCCTGCAGACAAGATCCCCTATCCCTCATGTCTTTGGGCCTCCTGACTCAGGTCCCCTCCCAGAAGGTCAGGAGTATTTTTGTTGACCGTGGAGTAATACGAGCTGGCAGAAGCATCGGCTCTCTCGGAGGCCCGCGCAGTGTTCCCCGGCCGGGTCCGCTGTCTCCAGGCCCCGACCGCTCACTCGCCCCGACAGCGTGGCCCATCCAGACGAGCAGCCTCTGCGATTTCGCATGGGAACTCCGCGCAAACGCGGATCTGTCGGCATCGGCTTACGAACGGGCCAACCTCTTCGGAGAGGCCCGGGAGATCCTGGGAGGCCGTTGTCGATACCAGTGCAGTCAGCCCGCAAGGTAAGGATGAGCAGTTCTCCAAGGTTGTCCTCGCATCCTTCCCTGCGGCCCATCCTGGGCCGCTTTCGCTGGCCGCGCCCCGCTCGCGAAGTGTGGGCATGGCCTCCCAAGGCCCTGACATCCTGATCGCGCATCCTTGCGATACGGGTCGACTGTGCTCTCTGCGGGAGGCACTACAATACCAGCACTCCCTGCGGGAGGCAATACTCACCGGGCGCGTGGCACTACTCGCAAAATCCCTACTTGCAAACGTCCTGAGACAAGCGTGCTCGCCTCGATGTAATGGGTCGTACATCCTCCTCGGCGCAGCCGGGCCACTGGCGAGTAGCTGCTTTGCGAGTAGTGGAACGCGCTCGTCTGAATATAATGCCGATACTCCCTGCGGGAGGCAGTAGAGGCCTGCCCAGGAAGGTTGCCCACGGGGGGGCTGGAGGCCACACTTCTGGGGCGGGCGGAGCGTCGGGGCCTGAAGACGGCGGGCCCGCCCCAGAACCGTGCCGGCTGTCTCCCGACGTCCCCGGACACGTCGCCGCTGCCCACCGCAGGGAAGATGGGCAATCGATCCTCGATCCTCGATCCTCGATCCTCGATCCTCCATCCTTTCGATCCTCGATTCTCTCCATCCTCGATCCTCTCGATCCTGGAGCCTCGATCCCAGCGCTCGATCCTCTCGATCCTCTCGATCCTCTCGATCCTCTCGATTCTCTCCATCCTCGATCCTCTCGATCCTGGAGCCTCGATCCTCGGTCCTCTCGAGCTTCAGCGCTTCCCGCTTGGTGTTGGCGCTGGCCCCCGAGGAGCTCCCAGGCCGCTCCCCGGCCCCGGCCGGGGCGGGGCGCCGTCGTCCCTCCCGCGGGGGGCGTCGGTGTCGTGCTGCCTCCCTCGGGGCGTTCCCTTCGCGGCAGCACAAGGTGGCAGTGCTGGACATTCCTTACTCCAGATCTCGTCATAAAAGGGAGGGGGTCTGGACCCTCCAAGACGAGCCACTTCAGACCTCTCCCGTGGGAGAACCCTCCAAAGCATCGTCCCCAGACCCCCCAGGCCCTCCAAGATAGCCTGGAAGAGACCCCCCCCCCCGAAACGAGACCCCCCCTCCCTTTATTACGAAATCTGGAGTAGCAGTTCTCTGGCAGAGAAGTTAAAAAGGAAGCAGCCATCCCGCAGGGAGTATTGGCATTGGCTTTTGCCCCCGAGGACCTTGGATTCCCCACTGGATGATTCAAAGATTCGTGCGACGCCTTCGCCTTCTCACGTCCGCTACTCCTCCTTCCGTGATCCTTCTCTTCTTCTTCCTCCCTTTCTCCCACTCCTTCGCCCACTCCGACACATATTCATTCGCAGGCAGTTCGTTCATATCAATTGCAGGATCCTTCACACTCGCACGCACTCGCAATTTGATGTCTTGTGCTCAGATTCATTCACACACAGACTGGTTCGTGCTCACTCACGCTCGTAACACATTTGTAGCAGCATGACGAAACACTTCTGCTCATACGACCCACATTCAGATTGAGTCATATTTACCTCACTCAAGTCCATAGTCATGCACCCGGGCCATTCGCACTCACATCGTTCACGCCCGAAGGCATTTATATTCCGATTCATGTGCACTCAGACTCGCCCACACGAAGTATCTAATATTCAGAGTGTTCATGCCCAATCAATTCACACTCCATAGCCCCATGACCACCAGGTTTGAGCACGCACAGTATTTGAGCCCCCCTGGGGAACCGCCCAGGGGTAGTTTCAGTTGCCTATTCGCGGCCCTGACCGGGCCTCTCCCGACCAGGGTGGGCCCCGAGATGGTCTGGGATCCCGTTTTCGGTTGCTCCGTTGGAGGGGACGATGAACGTCGGTCGCGTGGGGTGAAACGTCGGTGGCCCCCCTGGGTGACATTACAAGACCGGGTGACACGTCGATCGCCGAGGCTAGGCGAGACGTCAATCGCCAAGGTTTGGGTGGTCGCCCCCCTGGGGTGGAAGCGTCGGGGGTCCTGCGACCAGGTCACGGAAGGAGTTCTCGTTGGGGGGGCGCGCGCGCGGGCGAGCAGGCCCCGACTTTCCGCCACCCTCGCCGCGGCCGCGGTCGAGTCCCGACTCGAGCCGCTCGCCCCGCGCGCCGAGCTCCTGCGTCTCGCCCTGCTTTCGCGCTGCCGCCGCCCAGCTTCTCGCGGATGTTTGCCTCTGGAGACCACCACACGGCCCTGCTCAGGAGCGACGGCACCGCCCTGGCCTGCGGCCGCAATGCTCACGGTCAGTGCGACCTCCCGGCGCTGGTGGGGGGCCTGACCTACACGCAGGTTGCCGCTGGAGACGGCCACACGGCCCTGCTCAGGAGCGACGGCACCGCCATGGCCTGCGGCCGGAATACTGGTGGGCAGTGCGACCTCCCAGCGCTGGTGGGGGGCCTGACCTACGCGGCGCACTTGCTTCCACCGCTGCTTCTGCAGGCATCGCCCGACGGCGACTCGATGCGCTTCTTGACCCTCGGTGGGGCCGAGCGCTGCAGGGTCGGGGCCGGACCCTCCGCTCTCTTGACGGACGTCTACGGCCAGCTGGTGGCGGAGTATCGGGCGGGCAGGCTGGGCCCCAGGACCTCCGGCGGGGTCGACGCGGTCCTGCCCGACGCCCGACGGCTCAGCAGCGCCGCCGACGGGGAGACGGTCGCCGGCGCCCTCGCGCCTGGTCTGCCCGGCTGAGCCGCCGCCCCGCGGTCGCGCGGACCGACCGCGGCCAGACGAAGGCGCGGCGTAGTGTGACGCGGGGCCCAGGTCGTCCCAGCTGGCCGCAACAGGCCTCCCGAGCAGTCGGGGGCGGTCGCAACACCTTCCAGATATTCCGGGGATCCGCAGCAGTCTTGGGATTAGGTATGGACGGCGGATGCGCTCCTACATTTGTTCTCGCAAGAGACATGATCCATCATCGCATGCGTCTGCTGTAGGGGTTTATTGCTTGAATGCTTGCTTTCTCTTCAGGGTCTTGGGCTTCCACTCCAGCGCTTCCCTTTTCCAGCGGGCGTGCCGATGCAGTTTGGGTTGCAGAGACGAGAACGCGCTGGCAGGGGGCGCTCCAGCCTACTACCCGCCAAGCTTCAGCGTGCCAGCTCACGCTCTCGCTGTGTGCGTCGGCTTCCGACCCCCTCTCCAACTGGCGCAGTGCCATGCGGATCGGTCCGCCGTTCGTCTTCTGCTTGCCCCTCCTGCTCACGAGCTCGGCACCTCGGCACCTTGTCTGCGCACCTTCGCCCTGGACTGGACCCTTGGAGGGTCGGGCCGAACGAAAGGGCGGGGAGAGGGAAAGGCGGGGGGTTACGAAACCTGCTGCATGCCTCTGGTTTCGGTCCCGCCGCAGGGCCCACTCCTCGATGCATGGGCGCCTCCCGGCGCCGGGAGGCGCCAGGAAAGTCAGCTGCGTGAGCTGATTCTCTACCCTGGCCTCTGCCGATCCCCCCCTTTCGTTCCCCCCGAGAGGGGGCCATGGATCGATCTTGAGCGGCTACTGCCTCAACTCGCCCTGCTCCGACACGAGCAGTGGGCCTGTTTTCCACCACCACCACCATAAATTGGAGGGGGAAGGAGGTGGAGGATGAGGAGGAGGAGCAGGAAGAAGAGGAGGAGGGGGACCCCCTCCCCCTCCTACGTCTGGTGGTGGTGGTGGAGAACAGGCCCACCTACGAGGGGGCGGCGCGAGCGGTGCGGTCTCCCGAGAAGGGGGGTGGGCCGCCTGGAGGGCGGGGGCCTTCTCGGAAGGGCCCAGAGATCGGGGGCCCGCCAAGAAGGCGTGCAGTCGGACCCAGGCGTAAAGTTCGAGGTGGGTTCGGGGAGGGTGCCCTGAGGTTCTTTGTCTTCGTTGGACGTTGTTGTTCGTTGGATGTTGTTGTTCGTGTTCGTTGGATGTTCTTGTTCGTTGGATGTTCTTATTGTGCTCGTGTGCGTTGGATGTTCTGTGTGTGTGTGTGTGTGTTTGGGCTGGCGGAGGGCCTCATGCTCTTGAGAGATGCTCTTCTGGCCCAGGTCCGACTGTACCGGAAGCCAGGAGGGTCTCTGACAGGGCGGCCCCCGCCTCCTCGGGCACCCTCCCCCCGCCCCTCGCGCCACCTCCTCGTGGCCGCCTTGCGCCAGTGCGGGCGGGGGGGCTCGCGCCTCGCTGGGCCTCCCGCCCCGTCGGCCCATCCCCGCGCCACTTTTCGATGGCGCTCGTTTCCCCGCAGGCGCTGCTCGTGCCCCCCCCGACGCTGTAACTCAAGAGGCTGCGCCGTCCTGCCGCCCCCGCAAGGACAGCGCAGGCAGGGCGAAGGCACAAGAGACGGCCGGAAGCACGACTTGAGACCACCCGGCTGATGCAGTCGACCCGCAGAGTTAGGACGGGCAGCCTTCCCAAGGGTACCCTTGCATCCTTGCCTCCTCGGTTTATCCTTGGCCACTTCCGTCGGCCGCGCCCCGCTGGAAACGCTTCGAGCTGGGCGTCCAATGCCCGCGCATCCTCATCGCGCATCCTTACTATACTGGTCGAATGTACTTGGGGCCTCCTATGGCGTGCGTGGACGATTCTGCAGGGCCCGGTCAGGAGGAGTGGGGGCGGCGCAGGGGGAGCGAGACAGCAGGAGGCCACGAATGAGGACGGCATGGGGATACGAGAGAGGGAGGACCAGTCGGAGGAGGAGGAGGAGGAGGAGGAGGAGGAGGAGGAGGAGGAGGAGGAGGAGATATTGCAATTCTATCTAAAGCGTCATCCTCCTCTAGGGAGGCCGCTCAATAATCAACTCGCACATCAGGGAAAGAGGTGCCCGATTTCGGGGGCAGCCCTCTAGAGAGCCGCGACAACACCTCGCGACATGCAGATGTGGGCTTCCCGCAGAGCCTGGAGAGGGTCCGAGCAGGATTGACTGTGCAGAATCCGCCACAGACCTCACAAAACAACACCCCTCTTAGCACCGCAAGCTGAGGGGACGCATCACAAAATTCGGCCATCGGGTGGTCCAGAGCCGCCCCTCCGACTGGCACTGCCGCGAGGTCATCTGGGACGGGGTCGTCCATCCCCCTCGGGTCGGCAGGAGGCCCCGGGGGCAAGCTCTGGATCTTCTGCTGCACAGGACGGCGCGGCTTGCAAGGGTCAGGCCAAAAATCCGCCAGCTCTCCTCTCAGTGGAAAACCCCTGAAGCACACAGAACACTTAATGACAGCACTCCGCAACGGAGGCTCATGCCCACAGTCTCGCAATCTACACAACCGCTCGACAGCACTAGTTTGTTGGCCACGGCATCTTCTAGGAGCGCGCTCAGCCCGCTCCCGCTCCCCAGTGAAAAGGATCTCCCGCTGGACCGCCAACAAAAGCAACACCACATCGGGCGCCAGTTTATCGGCCCTGCGGGTCTGATCCACTAAATCCCCAGGAACCTGGGCACGCATGGCTGCGGCGTCCGCAAAACAAATCACCAGCTTGATTCAGATAAACCTCCACGTCGCTCAACAACAGTTTTGGCGTTGGGCCTGGGTGGGATGTGATTTCGTCCAAAGCACTTGGATATACCCTCACGGGACAACATAAGATCAGGAGGATTGGCTCACAAATCCAACATCGACGAACGAGATTTGGCCTGCAAAGGGAGACGCACTCCTGTAACCACTCCCAGGAAATCACACTACATTATGCAATGGCCAGTCGTGCAACTGGCCAACATAATCAAGGCATACAGCCCCTTTCCCTGGGAGGACTTCTTCACGGTGGGCAAGGTGCCCATGATGATGGCGTCGAAAAGGCCAGTTGGGACCTAGGTGGACACACGCCCAGCCACAGCGGCGGAGCCGCCAGTCCTGAGTATAGTTCCCCCCCAGATCCGTCTATGCCCCACACGCCTCCATCGATATTTTCTCATCCCACCGATCGGCCCCACTCCCAAACGCAGGAAGCAGGCGGCGGCAGATGCCCGCAGGAGCCAGCCAAGAGCGGAAGACCACGAAGCCAAAAGCACGTGCGCTGGGGTACGGCACGAGCCCGATCAACAAGAGAGCTGGTGCGACCCGCGACCGCATCGAGCAGATATTGGTTGGCGATGCATTCCCAAAAACGATGGAGCGGAGTCTCGGCTGAGGCGCCGCGACGAGGATCAACCCCAGCAGTGTGCGAGAGGTAACCCGCATCCTGAAGCCTAGCTTCAGTTCAAAAAGCGCCACTGACGATGTTACGCACCATACCTGCAGACTCCATCCTACCCTGTTTCTCCAAACTCCGGAGAAACCTGTGCACCATGGTAAATTCAACTCCCCCTTCCACTCCCATCTCCACGTAGTGTCCCGCTGCAGCCTTCCTCGACATAGCTTGGCAGGTAACGACCAGGCATGTAGAGCTGGAAAGGAAAGTCTCCATCCGTCACTCGGAGCATATCTGTGCCAATGCGCCAGCACATTGGAGAGACAGGGTCCCAATTCAAATCGAGAAGCACCGTTAGCGTGGCCGCTATCGGACCTCGCACGACCTGCCATCGGTGCTGCGTGCACGCGAGCCTGTCAGCAACCTTCTTCTTCCAAACTTGTGCGACTCGAACTTTTTGTTTGGTAACTGGTTCCAAATTGAGGCGAACGAGTTCAATTGCTCATGCCGAAGCGTAACCTGGGGGTCATCCTTAGCAGGGCTGACAAGATTCAAAATCAGTAGTGGGGCAGGCCCTAGGGCCCCACTGCCCCGAGAACGTAGCCGCCTGGGCTCGCATCGACTGGACCTGAGCGGGGGGGGGGGAGGGGAAATCTCCATGGCCCCGCGACCCAACCGCCAGCGCAGCAGGTTTGTAAAGCTCGCGGGCTCCCCCCACCAGGCGTGTGAGAAAACGGGCCCTCAGGGCCTTTCGCCGGGCCATGGCGCGCCGTTGGCGCAATTTAGAGACACAGCGGCTCCTGCCTGCAGTGGTCACGACCCCCAAATCTCGCATTCCATCAGCCACCTTGATAGGTGAGCTAGCAGCGCGGAAGAGGGTGGTGAGGTGACCGCGCAGCCGGCGATCAGAACAAGCAGAGGTATTCCTACCCGAGATGATAGCGCTTGCTTGCTCAAGCTGATGACAAAGGTGCACTGCTGCAGGCGCAATACTAGAGACACTATCTGACCATGCACCTTGCTGGGTCTGGGTGATATCGCCCACGTGAGCAACGGTGGACACGGGCGATACTGGGCGTGAGCAACATCCATTAACTCATACAGATAAATCTGGACCCGCGGCATAGACTGCGCGCTTCCAGGGAACGCCCCGCGCCCCGTGGGGGCAACGTCCGACGCGAAGCCGTTGGCCTCCAGGACGCGCGGCGCCCCGTGCATCAAAATCCCCAAGCGCAATCGGTGGGCGGGATAAGCCATTTCCAAGGCGAAACCAGCAAGGCGACGAGGATCAACCGTATCAAACAACTTGCTAATGTCCCAGCAGAGACCCACAAGCAGCTCTCCAATATGACTGGTCATCCCATGAACTATCTCGCGAATGAGAGCCGCCTGCGACGCAGGCGATCCACGTGTAGCGGTGACCCAATAGTTATCGCGCTCCCGAGGCCACTCATCAACGTTACGGCCGCGTGCCCGACAATGTAGGCGGTGCAGGGAAGGGCGCTTGTAAATGGGGCGCTCTTCATCCGTGGCCTTGGGGGGCAGGGCTATGATGCCCGTCGTGGTGTGGGTGGGCCACATCATTGAGCACTCGCGCTGGTTGAGGAGATTAGCGTAGACCCCCGCAGCAGAGCCATTCAAGGACGCCGACAGGCGACGGGCCCAACAACCAATGCCCACCGCAGTGTCAACCTTAAACAGCCGCGCAGCTCTAGGCACCCCTTCCAGGGGTCAAGGGATCCAGGGGCTCCGCGGCCGATGAGGCCGCCGGTCGCAATGCGTTTAAAACTCCCGACAAAGCTTCCCTCTGATCAGGGGGGGCTTTCCGAAACTGGCCCCAGAAATCTTGACGATGCTGCGTCGTCTCCTCTGGGAGTTGCTTCGCCTCAGTAGGTGTGACAAGGTGCTCGAGATCAGATCCTTGATCGTACTTCAGCCGCGAGTGCGCCCGCCTAGCGCCTCGAGGCAAAGCCTTGAAAGGCCAGTGCTTCATGCTGGCCTTAGAGGCAGAGCGGGCGGCGTGCCAGGCCTGACAGACCGCGTGGGCGACCGAGTCGGAAAGAACGTTGGGATCGTCCACAGAACCGGGAACAGCCGCAAACTGAGCTATCTACCGCTCAGCGGGCTGACGAAGACCAGGGAGCCAATGGGAATGCACTTGGCCCGATCGACTCGACAACGCTCGATCAGGCCACAACGTATTGTCCCAGGGTTTACAGGCCATGCGCAGCCGATGCCCCCCGGGGGCTGAGGAGCGTGAGCCCAAAAACACAGGGCTGGAAGCTGGAAGCCCTGGCCACAGAAACCTCTCCTGCCAATCTTAGAGTGCCGAAAATGTGGGCGCCCACCTCGGATACTGCGCGCCCTGTGCTCCATCGGCGCTGCGCAGGCGCGAGACAGGAACATCATCTCAGTGGCGCGGCTCCGCAGCAAGTACTTCCTTGAAACATTATCAGAAAGGTGGCCACGCACATGGGGTAGGCAACTATAGTCAGAGTGCGGCGGGGTTTCCAGCGACCCAGGATCCTTCGAGCGGACCAGGATCTCCCTCCAGGGCAGGTCAGGGCAGGACAGGCAGGGAAAAAGGCATATGTTTCACTCGTCTCCATAACTTCTGCTCAACCGCCTGATGATCCACCGGCACCTGCAATCAAGCGTGAGTCTTGAACGGCGAAGGCGTGTGCTTGGCCACGCGCGCAAAGCTGGCCAGACCTTGACGCTTTTCAACGATGGCGTCCACGTGGATCTGCAGTCCGATTTCGTCGTCACCGATTGCCCCTCCTTCGCCGCGTATGCCGATCCTCGTCCTGGAGGCCGTGCGCGTGGTAAAGGATAATGCTGAACCTGAGCCGTGCTCTGCGCTTAGGCTCGCTACTTTCTTTTTCGTCGTTGTCTCTCTCTCTCTCTCTTTCTCTCTCTTGTAGATCGCTGTGTCAGGGTGCCTCAGCCGAGAATCAATCATAATAATATTGCAGATTGCGCAGCCTAGCGTCTCTCTGCCTGGCGTTGGTGAGGGCCTGCCTCGCCCCATAGGCAGCCCGCTGCCAGTGGAAGTTAACGCCCGCTAGGCAGAAAGAGGGTTTTGCTGCTCCAGCTGCTAGGCTTTCTTAGGTTCAGCAGGCGAATCGGCACTCTCCCGCTAGCAATCTCGAGGCTTCGACAAAGACGGTCTTCAGCTACAGATCAGGAGGGGAAAACACACACAGACACAATTAATCGACGATTCCCAGAAAATATGGGAACATTTGAGAAGTGGGGGGGAAGAAAAAACCCAGAAAATACGGGAAAATATGGGGGGTCCTTTTATTTGTGTGTATTTATTTGTGTGTCCCAGGGCCCCTTCAACAGAGGCTGAAGAAATGGGGTCCGCGCGCGCGGAGGCGCGCACCCCCTGCCCACGAGTGAAAACAACGACCCGCGGCCCTGACTTCACTCAGGAGGGAAAAAAACACACACACACACATGCACAATTAATCGTCGATTCCCAGGAAAATATGCAAAAACATGGGAAGTGGGGGAAGACGAATATCGAAAAAATATGTAAAAATATGGGGAATCCGGTTATTTGTGTGTATTGATTTGTGTGTCCCAGGGCCCCTTCATTCACGTGAACTCCACCAGACACGGGGCCAAGGCGCGTCCACGGGCGAGTCGAGGGAAACCAGATAAGTCCAAATCGCTAGCTGGAACGTCGAATTCCCCTCAGAAGCCATGGCACCGACGACGTGCCCAAGGACTCCGAGATTTCGCGCAGTCGTTCGACGTTCTCTCCGCGGACGCCCAGGGCCGACACCAAATGCACAACTCCTACAGCTATCGCAGCCTGCTTGGTCTTCAGCACCAAAACCAGTGGCTACCAGAGCCAAGGCCCGTCACGGACCCAGCCGTGGGCAGGAAACGCTGAGCACTTAAACATCGGGAAACGACAGAGCCCGCCCCGCCATGCGCTCCTCCTCCGGGGGGGGGGGGGTAGCGGGGATGAGGTGGGGCCGCCATTTCAGCTGGTGGGCTCTCCTCTTAGCCAGCTTCACCCTCTCGGAGTTGGGGTGCTGCTCTGCAAAGAAGAAGCCGTCGCAACTGGATCGAACGCTAGCAGCGAACGACACAGCAACCTCATTCCACGACGTGATATTGCAAACCAAGAGGTCGATACTGGTGGCAGCACCGTGGCCGCCAGTGTGCCTGTTGAAAAGATTGCTCAGAAGCTGGTGCCGCCGCGGCGGCTGGCGCGGCGGCCGCCGAAAGATAGTCGGCGGCCACATTCGCGTCAACGGGCACCTCAGTCGCAGCAGCCAGGGCCGGTGCGGCGCCGCCGGGATCTCCGACTCGCGCTGCCTCGCCCCCACGGGGTAGAACCTGCGGCAGCACTCGCCCGAAGCTGGATGCTGTGTATTCACGAAGGGTAGGCGATCGCTTCGCGGCCTTGCATTGAGCTTGCTTGACCAACAGCTGCTCCATCCGCTCCTGCTGCGAGGCCTCAAGAGCTCCCCCTTCGAGCGCGCTTCCTGAGACCTTCCAGCTCATCGCGAGGATGATCGCCGTGCTCAGAGGTAGTCATCTCCGAGTCCGCGTCGTCGCCCTTGACATGGGTGTACGTGCGTCGCAGCATCTGCCGGTGCTCGGACCTCTGGTTGTGCTCGACGCACCAGCGCTCGAGCAGGGTGGAGATCGCCGGCAGGAGCATCGCTGGCGGCGTGAGCAGGTAGACGGCCATCGCAGCCATGGCTGCCGCCGCCATGGCCACCGCCGCCTGGGGCGCCCCCGTCGCCGCCCGCAGGCGCCGCCGCAGCAGCCCAGCCTCCAGCCTGAGGAGCGCCAGGTGGGCCACCCGCAGCAGGCGCTTCGGGGGCCGCCCCGCGGCCCGCCGCCGTGGCAGCAGCCGCCTGCGCTTCGCGCCGCGCACGGGCAGCCCCGGCGCGAGCGTGGTCTTCTTCAGCACGCAGCTGCCGAGGA